GCGAAACTCCGTCTCAAAAAACAAAAAAAAAAAAAAGAAAGAAAGAAAGAAAGAAATTGATTAGAGCTAACTTTATAAAGTTTTGGCACAAGAGTCTTAGCAGCCAATGTGTTTAGTATACAGAAAACCATGGCAATGACATTCTCTTTTGCCAACTTTCTTGACTTTTAATTAAGATATACCTAGAAAAGCAGGAATTCTGGTCTTTGATTCCTGAGACCTCTCTGTTTCATGTGAAGATACAGCTTCAAGTCTTGGAGAATGCCTTCAGGGTCTTAAAAATGGGGCAATCTGTAGACTGTGAGTCAAGCTGTGAGCAAGTCAGGTTTTACAAGGGACTGGTATGTTCTGACAGCAGCCGAGCCCTGTGGCCATGCTGGGCATTCTTTCCACTCTGATTGCTGACTCAGCTGACTCAGTCACCCTCCTTGCCTAGAGTTGGCAGCAGGTGTGGCTTATGGCATGTCCTTTCATTCTGAGCCCCGTGAGATGCGGGTGAAGAGATTTCCGAGGCTGTGCGAGCCTCTCTGCCACCCTGCTCAGTGCCCACTTCCTCCGCAGACCCACTCCTTGCCAGTTGTGGTGATCTCCAACATCTGTCAGATGCCAAATGCCTGGGCGTCCATCCTGTGGTACAACATGCTGACCAACAACCCCAAGGTTAGTGCCCCCTCCTTTTAGTTGGTGCCCCAGGATCTTCTGCAACTTATAGTTACCTAGTATAGACAATGAGCACCATCGCTCATCTAAACGAGCAAATGTGTTCTTTCCAATAGAACGTGAACTTTTTTACCAAGCCCCCAATTGGAACGTGGGATCAAGTGGCCGAGGTTCTGAGCTGGCAATTCTCCTCCACCACCAAGCGAGGACTGAGCATCGAGCAGCTGACTACACTGGCAGAGAAACTCTTGGGTTCGCATTTTCACCCCTCCTCCCTCCCTCCTGCCCGGAAAAGGGATCTGTCCATTTTCATGCTGTGGGTGAAAATAAAAAAAAGAATCAAAAAAAGAAAGGGATCTGGCCTATAGGACTGCTCATTTGGGCCATGTCTACTGATCATTAGGTCATGTTTCCTGAGCAAGGCACTCCCCACTCCATCAGGTTGGAGGAGTCAGGGTACAGAGGCAGTTTGCAGTCAGGGTGATAATTTTTGAGGTAGGAGGTAGATTTCTTTTCTCCTGGTTGCTATCTCACTCACCCTTCCAGGGTACCACTCCATCTAACCTTAGAAGATCTTTTTTTTTCTTTCTTTCTTTTTTTTTTTTAAAGATGGGGTTTCACTATGTTGGTCAGGCTGGTCTTGAACTCCCAACCTCAGGTGATCCACCCTCCTTGGCCTCCAAAGTGCTTGGATTACAGGCGTGAGCCACCATGCCCGGCCTAGAAGATCTTTTAAGTGTGTTTTGGAAGGTAGAGCTAAAGGCTTGATATTCCCCATCCATTTCTTCTTCTTTTTTTTTTTTTTCCCTTGTTCCCTATCCATTTCTTTAATCAACTGTAGGCCAGTTTTTTGTGGATTTTCTTTGAGACAGAATCTCGCTCTGTCTCCAGGCTGGAGTGCAGTGGCGCATTCTCGGCTCACTGCAACCTCCGCCTCCCGGGTTCAAGTGATTCTCCTCTCTCAGCCTCCCACATGGCTCGGACTACAGGCATGCGCCACCACACCAGGCTAATTTTGTATTTTTACTAGAGATGGGGTTTCACTATGTTGGTCAGGATGGTCTAAATCTCTTGACCTCATGATTTGCCCACCTCTTCCTCCCAAAGTGCTGGGATTATAGGAATGAGCCACCGCGCCCAGCCGCCTATAGGCTAGTTTTTAAAAAAGAATTAGTGGAATATTTTATGTGCTACCTGGGCTAGAAGTAGCTTTATCCTAATAAAGCTGTTGCCACCAAATACACCTGTCTGACACCAGATGTCAGCTTGTTAGTGAGTGCTGCTGCTGGTCCCCAGCCCACCACCCAAGCTGGGAAGAGCAGGGACTTGTTGTATCACCCTCTATCCCTGCTGGGCTACCCAGCAACAAAGATGGGTCACATAACGGCAGTGTGTTTGTCCTCATGTGTGTACACACACAACAGAGGCCACCTTTTAATATGTGAACGCCAGTGGTTTCGTGGCCCATTGTGGGACCAATGTTTGTGTGTTCTGTTTTAAGAAATAACACCAGGCTGGGCTTGGTGGCTCAAGCCTGTAATCCCAGCACTTTGGAAGGCTGAGGTGGGCAGATCACAAGGTCAAGAGATCGAGACCATCCTGGCCAACATGGTGAAACCCTGTCTCTACTAAAATAATAAAAATTAGCCAGGCGTGGTGGCACATGCCTGTAGTCCTAGCCACTCAGGAGGCTGAGGGAGGAGAATCACTTGAATCCAGGAGGCAGGAGGTTGCAGTGAGCTGAGATTGCGCCACTGCACTCCAGCCTGACGACAGAGCGAGACTCTGTCTCAAAAAAAAAAAAAAAAGAAAGTAAGAAATAACATCTTGACCCCAACCTGAAAATGTACTACTTGATTCTTTTTCTTTTCCCTCAGGACCTGGTGTGAATTATTCAGGGTGTCAGATCACATGGGCTAAGTTTTGCAAAGTAAGCAATCTTGTTAAATCCTCGTGGGAATGGGAGTACTCACCTGCACGGCTGTTGTGGAGGGCTCTGGCTTGAAGGCCTAAACTCTTGGTCCAGCAGCCAGTAGGACCTGCCAGCGAGTAGACTGGCCTCAGGATTTGGGTGGTGCACTGTGCCCCGGGAAGGGAAAGGCTGGGGTGGCGGTAGACTTGGCTTTCCCGTTATTCTTTTCTCCAGGAAAACATGGCTGGCAAGGGCTTCTCCTTCTGGGTCTGGCTGGACAATATCATTGACCTTGTGAAAAAGTATATCCTGGCCCTTTGGAACGAAGGGTAGGTCGGACAGAGTGTGCACAGGTGTAACCAAGTCTCCTGCTCTTGGTGAGCCAGTGGCAGTGGGTGGCTGACCTGTTAGCAGTAACAACACTGTTCCTCCTCTTGGCTTCAGGTACATCATGGGCTTTATCAGTAAGGAGAGGGAGCGGGCCATCCTGAGCACCAAGCCTCCAGGCACCTTCCTGCTAAGGTTCAGTGAAAGCAGCAAAGAAGGCGGCGTCACTTTCACTTGGGTGGAGAAGGACATCAGTGGTAAGTGAGGCTCCCACCCACCCCACCTGCTGGCGGCTGCTGAGGCCTCATCACCGCTGCTAGTTCCAGGCACCTACTGCCCCCTGGTGGGTGGAGATGGCCCTGACTCCCTGCCTCACTCAGACACATTTGGGTGACTTCTAAATCCTTCCAGCTGAAGCATTGGTTTGCTTTTGTTTTGCTTCCTCCAGTGGCTATTGGTTGAGAAATTTGCAGTTTAAATTTTATTCTTCATCCCTTTCCTGTTTATCCTGTTAATATATCTTACGCAAGTAGTTATATTCAAGTTTATGGCCTTTGACTTAGCTGGTAGCCTCTTCTCAATTAGAAGCCAGCCTGAAACATTTCCACAGTACCAGGTCACTGGACAGGAGGTTCAGGGTCTTAACACTAGGGTGGCTTACGTCTTCTCCCCTTAGAGGAAATAAAAATGGGCCCTTTTCTCTGAGATTACCTAGCTGTAGGTGCCATGATCTTTCCTTCCCATGTCCCGTGACAGGTAAGACCCAGATCCAGTCGGTGGAACCATACACCAAGCAGCAGCTGAACAACATGTCATTTGCCGAAATCATCATGGGCTATAAGATCATGGATGCTACCAACATCCTGGTCTCTCCGCTGGTCTATCTCTACCCTGACATTCCCAAGGAGGAGGCATTCGGAAAGTATTGTCGGCCAGAGAGCCAGGAGCATCCCGAAGCTGACCCAGGTAGTTGTTGATTTTCCATGTTACTGGCATTTAATTTTTGGGAAAAGTTGGAAATTTCAGGATCCTTGGAGGATAGACAGGCAAATGCCTGAATAACCTGGGGGATCATTATTTGTCCTTATGGGAACGCACTGTAATGAGTGCTTTTCTGGGGGTGACTGATGGGATTTGAGAGGAGAATCAGAATCACTTAGACTAGTGCAGCCCCTGCTTCACGAGAGTTCACTAGTCTTAAGAGGGGATACAGCCTGGGCAATATGGTGAAACCACGTCTCTACAAAAATACAAAAAAATTACCCGGGTGTGGTGGCACGCATTTGTAGTTGTAGCTACTCGGGAGGCTGAGGCGGGAGGATCACCTGAGCCCAGGAGTTCAAGGCTGTAAGTAAGCGATGATCGTGCCACTGCACTCCAGCCTGGCTGATAGTGAGACACTGCGTCAATAATAAAAATAAAGAAGGGACTGATACACATACATACCCCAAAACATGCCTGAAACATGAGAAGAGAAAGTGAAGACAGTTCTTTGTTAACAGGATGCCCAGCTGGCACAGTGCTTCCGTAGACGCTGGAAGGTTTGAGCACGGGTTTTAGCCCAGTGTACCACTTTTTGTCTGTCACTGAACCATGTCAGTGTGGCAGGCAGGTGGGCTGAAGAAAGGCTTTCTGGAGGAAATGATTATTAGCAGCATGGGAGAATGGTTTACACCAGAGTAGAAGAGCTGGGAGCATCATGTTTGAAGGGGAAGACAGTGCCTGGGTGGAGGGCAAGGGATCGGTATTTAGAATGTGCAACTGTTGCAAATAAGGTATTTTTTAATGTGTAAGAGGATGTGTATTTATATGTTACATATAAATTATTTTCGCTGGGTGCAGTGGCTCATGCCTGTAGACCTAGCACTTTGGGAGGCCCAGTTAGGAGGATCACTTGAGCCTGGGAGTTTGAGGCCAGCCTAGACAACGTAGTGAGAGCATAAAAAAATTTTTTTTAATTAGCCAGGGGTGGTGGTTTGTGCCTATAGTCCTAGCTACTTAGGAGACTGAGGTGGGTGGATTGCTTGAGCCAGAAGGTTGAGGCTGCAGTCAGCCATGATTATACCACTGCACTCCAGCCTGGACAACAGAACAAGACCTTGTCTTACAAATAATAAAGAAATTAAAAGTATTATTTTACATTAAACCTGTAATCTCAGCTGGGCGTGGTGGTTCACACATGCAATCCTGCCACTTTGGGAGGCTGAAGCAGGAGGATCACTTGAGGCCAGGAGCAGCTCAAAACCAGCCTGGCAACATAGTAAGACCCCTCTACAGAAAAAAAAAAAAAAAGAAAAGAAAAGAAAAAAGATAAAACAAAACAGGCTGGGCACGGTGGCTCACGCCTATAATCCCAGCACTTTGGGAGGCAGAGGCAGGCGGATCACCTGAGGTCGGAAGTTCGAGAGCAGCCTCACCAACAGGGAGAAATCCCGTCTCTTACTAAAAACACAAAATTAGCTGGGCATGGCGGTGCATGCCTGTAATCCCAGCTAGCTGGGAGGCTGAGACAGGAGAATCGCTTGAAACCTGGGAGGCGGAGGTTGCGGTGAACCAAGATCATGGTATTGTACTCCAGCCTGGAAAACAAGAGTGAAACTCCATCTCGAAAAAAAGAAAAAGAAAAAACAAAACTGTAATCTCTGGAGCTGTCCTCAGTGTGGAGGAGGCAGCCCTGTCCCCTTTCAGCACTTGTTGCTTTGACTCTCTGGGTTCCCTGTGGAGATCCTGATGGGGAGCCTCTGATTTGCCATTCTTTGTTTTATCTAACTTTCTGTAATTATAAAGCTGGAGTGCAGTGGTGCGATCTCGACTCACTGCAACCTCTGCCTCCTGGTTCAAGCAATTCTCCTGCTTCAGCCTCCCAAGTAGCTGGAATTACAGGCAACTGCCACCACGCCCGGCTAATTTTTGTATTTTTAGCAGAGAAGGAGTTTCGCCATGTTGGCCAGGCTGACCTCGAATTCCAGACCTCAGGTGATCCACCCGCCTCAGCCTCCCAAAGTGCTGGGATTACAGGCACGAGCTACCGCGCCCAGCCTAATGATGGGCTCTTTAACGTGATTTTTTTAACCTCCCTGCCCAGGTTACTGTTGAAAAAGCTGTTTTTGTCCAAATAGCACACACACAGAAACCCACCAACTTCTCTCCTACTTTTTCCTAGGAATTCCTTCTGAGGATCTTCTTGGGGTGGAGCAGCATGGGGCCTGGAGGAGGGAGTTGGAGCTAATTGACAGTAGCCTTTATCCTTCATTCCTGCCCTGAGTTTTGTTCACACTATAGGAGTTTCACTCACTTCCTGTCTGCCGCCTATCTCTCTTTCCACGTGTGTTTCAGTTGGGAGATCTGTTTATCAGCCCCAGCCACACTGCTCTTTGTTCCTTTTGCAAAAGACATTGGGGTCCCAGGGCTGCTTTCAAGTTCCCACCTCCCAGTCTGAGGCTGCATCCTCCATTACCATTGCCCTTCCTGTGGGCTGGGAGGCCAGGTCCTTTCCTGCCCAGTTTCCTGGGGGCAAGGCCCTCATCAGGAGAAAGAACTAATTACTTGAGTAATTTGCCTGCCTCGCTGAGGGGCAAGGCACTCATCAAGAGAAAAGAACTAATTACTTGAGTAATTTGCCAGTCTCAGTGAGAGGAGTGTACCCTGAGGGGCTTGGTGGGGGGAGGTCCCTGTTATAAAATGGGCGCCTTCAGGAAGGAACATGTGACCATTTCTTCTCTTTCCATCACAAGACTATTATGGTGTGAGAGTCTCAAGATAATTATCCTCCTGGGACTCTTCTCTCTTCCTTCTCTACTGGAAACCCACAAGGCATTTCCTTCTGCTTGAGGGAGAGGTTCTGAGCCACTTACAGATTAGATAAAGTACATTTACAACCTGTACAAAGCCACAAATGAAGGCATTTTTCTCAGCTATCTTTGTTTTGTTGTTGTTATTGTTGTTGTTGTTTTGTTTTTTGAGACTGAGTCTTGCTCTGTCTCCCAGGTTGGAGTGCAGTGTCGGGATCTTGGCTCACTGCAACCTCCATCTCCCAGGTTCAAGAGATTCTCGTGCTTCAGCCTCCCGAGTAGCTGGGATTACAGACACACGCCAGTACGCCTGGCTAATTTTTCGTAGAGACAGGGTTTCACCAGGCTGGTCTCAAACTCCTGACCTCAAGTGATCTTCCCTCCTTGGCCTCCCAAAGTGCTGGGATTATAGGCTTGAGCCACCGAGCCTGGCCTTGTTTTTGTGTTTGTTTTGAGAGTCTCTGTCATCCAGGCTGGAGTACAGTGGCGCGATCTAAGCTCACTGCAGCCTCTGCCTCCTGGGTTCAAGTGATTTTTCTGCCTCAGCCTCCTCAGTAGCTGGGGATTATAGTCGTGCCACCATGCCCAGCTAATGTTTGTATTTTCAGTAAAGACGGGGTTTCGCCATGTTGGCCAGACTGGTCTTAAACTCCTGGCCTCAAGTGATCACCCAACTCAGCCTCCCAAAGTGCAGGGATTACAAGCGTGAGCCACTGTGCCCAGCCTCAGCTATCTTGATCGCTAGAGAATTAAATCCTTTTCTGTCTAGGGTGTCAGCTCCGTAAGGGCTGGGCCAAAACGATTGGATTTATAAGATACTGAAGCCCTTTCTCAGTAGCTCCTTTGAATTCTGTACTGAATTGATCAGTTTCTTGGCCAAAAGTAAGCTCAGAGGGTAGCCCAAGAGCCACTCTGCAGTGCTTTCTTTCACACGGTCATCATGCTTTCCCATCCTTCAGGGTCTCTGTAAGCGTCATGATTTATGGCTGTGCTGTTCGCAGCTCGCCCCTCCCTGCCCCGTGCCTTCTCAACGGTTTGTTCACCTGAATTCCCCAGATTTCCTGCCAGTGTCTGCAAGGTTCCTCGACCTCTTGATATAAGCATTCAGCATCTAAAATTCAGTTGATTCCCATCATCACATTTCTAACATAAATGACAGAGCTCATAGAAAATCGGCACCTTTTCTTCCCCCTCCCTCTTATTTTATACATAAAAAAGAACATGGGCTGGGCATTGTGGCCAAGTCTGGGTGTGATGGCTCTTACCTATAATCCCAGCATTTTGGGAGGCTGAGCTGGGTGGATCACTTGAGGTCAGGAGTTGGAGACCAGCATGGTCAACATGGCAAAACCCTGTCTCTACTAAAAATACAAAAATTATTCTGGGTGCGGTGGCTCACGCCTGATCCCAGCACTTTGGGAGGCCAGGGCGGGTGGATCACCTGAGGTCAGGAGTTCAAGACCAGCCTGGCTATAATGGTGAAACCCTGTCTCTACTAAGATTACAAAAAATAAAACTAGCCAGGCATGGTGGTGGGTGCTTATAATCCCAGCTACTCAGGAGGCTGATGAAGGAGAATCACTTGAACCCTGGAGGTAGAGGTTGCAGTGAGCCGAGATCGCGCCACTGCACTCGAGCCTGGGCAACAGAGCAAAACTCCGTCTCAAAAAAAAAAAGACAAAAATTAGCCAGGCATGGTGGTGCCACCTGTAGTCCCAGCTGCTTGGGAGACTGAGGCAGGAGAATTGCTTTGACCCAGGATGGGGAGGTTGTAGTGAGTCGAGATTGTGCAACTGCACTCGAGCCTGGGCAACAGAATGAGACTCTGTCTCAAAAATCAACCACCACCGCCACTACCACCGCCACCAAAAAAAGAGACTACGCCTTGTTCCAGGTCTCTTAGCTGTTGAAGATGTACCTGGATCCAGGTCTCTGGTCTTCTATTTGAATCAATTGTACTGCCCTGCAAAGTCATATTCTCTTTGGTGCTTTTTGATTGATGTATTTATCCAAGTAGGAAGTTACCCATGCCCTCATCCAAAAATGTGGTAGAGGCCAGATGAGTGCTGGTAGGAATAGGAGGTATAACCTTTGGCTTTGGAACCACAAGCATTAGCCGTCTCCATGTTCTCTTAAAGACTGGGTGATGTTGGTATCTAGGCCGAACACCATGCAAAGACTACACAGGCTCGGTTCCTGCACGCAGAGAAGTTACCTAAGAGATAGGACCAGCCAGAGTAGAATCCTAAGACCACATGGAGGCTGTTAAACTTTTAAATCTAGGGAAAGAATGAACACAAGGTTGGCATTAGTCTAGGCTCAGGTGGGAAAGGGTTATGCTGAAAAGTCTCTGCAGCTCAGCACAGCTTTGTGCAAAGGACTGAAGTTCAAAGCTGCCAGTACCTAGAATATCACTTAGTAAAGATGAGGGCGGGCAACCCTGAGGGGCAGATAGAGCTTTCCAGACAATCTCTGCATGAGGATGGAGTGAGCTTCAAATCGGTCCTGCTGAGGCAGCCAGCGTCCTCTGGCTCTGCTTACTGAATGTGAAGTAACAGTCAGTAAGAAGACTGGTTTTGTTCTTCCCAGGCGCTGCCCCATACCTGAAGACCAAGTTTATCTGTGTGACACCGTAAGTGGCTTCCTTTCCCAATTTTGCCTTTATTTCTAATATCCTCAGTTATCCCTGGGAATAGGACACTGGGTGAGAGTTCATCTGCCAAGGGTTGGAAGCCCCTGGGCTATGTTTAGTACTCAAAGTGACCTTGTGTGTTTAAAAAGCTTGAGCTTTTATTTTTCTGTTGGAGACCAGAGTTTGATGGCTTGTGTGTGTGTGTTTGTTCTTTTTTTTTTTTTCCATTGTGTCTTGTCAACCCCCCCTTTCCCCTCCTGCTGCCCCCCATTTCCTACAGAACGACCTGCAGCAATACCATTGACCTGCCGATGTCCCCCCGCACTTTAGATTCATTGATGCAGTTTGGAAATAATGGTGAAGGTGCTGAACCCTCAGCGGGAGGGCAGTTTGGTGAGTATTTGGTTGACAGATGTTGTTCCTCTGAGGGAAGTTGTTTCCCCTTTTGAGTGATGCTCGCATGTACACAACCGAGAGCTGGTCACTCGGAATGGTAGGAGGTTCTAGAGCATTGTTCTCCAGTAGAAATGTCATGAATGCCACATGTGCAAATATAAGTCCTCTAGCAGCCACATTGGAAACCAATGAAGTTAATTTTTACAATATATTTTATTTAACCCCGTAAATCCAACATACTTCAATTCAACATTTAAGAAAAAGTTGAGGCTGGGTGCGGTGGGTCATGCCTGTAATCCCAGCACTTTGGGAGGCCGAGGTGGGTGGCTCACTTGAGGTCAGGAGTTGGAGACCAGCCTGGCCAACAGGATGAGAGACCACATCTCTACAAAAAATGTAAAAATTAGCCAGGCATGGTGGCACATGCCTGTAATCCCAGTTACTCGGGAGGCTGAGATGGGAGGATCCCTTGAGCCTTGGAAATGGAGGTTGCAGTGAGCCGAGATGGTGCCACTGCACTCCAGCCTGGGCAACAGAGTAAGACTCCATCTCAAAAAAACTAAACTAAACTAAAAGAAAAAGTTGAGGTCGGGCGCGGTGGCTCACGCCTGTAATCCCAGCACTTTGGGAGGCCGAGGCGGGCGGATCACAAGGTCAAGAGATCGAGACTATCCTGGCCAACATGGGGAAACCCTGTCTATACTAAAAAATACAAAAATTAGCTGGGCGTGGTGGTGGCACGCCTGTAGTCCCAGCTACTCGGGAGGCTGAGGCAGGAGAATTGCTTGAACCCAGGAGGCAGAGATTTCAGTGAGCTGAGATTGCGCTACTGCACTCCAGCCTGGCTCCTGGTGACAGAGCAAGACTCTGGCTCCAAAAAAAAAAGTTGAGATCTTTTTCTTTTTTCATTTTTTTCTTTCCTATAAGTCTTTAAAATCTGGTGGACTTTTGACAGCCACAGCACAGCTCAGTTTGGATAAACCAAATCTCAAATGCTCGGTGGCCACGTGTGACTCGGGGCTTCTGAATTAAATAGTAGATCAAGGGCAGAAGAGCCAAGGACAGCCTTAGATCTTCTGTAAATGTAGAGATCTGAGAATCAGTGAAGGGAGGAAGGAGAAGGGCCCTTCCAGAGGTAGGGTCTTCTAGGGAGGAGAGTAAATCTGGCTTTTCTCACCATCCCTGGGCTTTAAGGGGCAGGAGACTAGATAGCAGTGGTAGCCTGAGCCCCGTCCTCTAAAGGGCTGGGGTCGTGCCCTGCCAGTTGCAGAGGGTGGACAACTGAACCCTTTTCCCTGTCTGTCCCTCCAGAGTCCCTCACCTTTGACATGGAGTTGACCTCGGAGTGCGCTACCTCCCCCATGTGAGGAGCTGAGAACGGAAGCTGCAGAAAGATACGACTGAGGCGCCTACCTGCGTTCCGCCACCCCTCACACAGCCAAACCCCAGATCATCTGAAACTACTAACTTTGTGGTTCCAGATTTTTTTTAATCTCCTACTTCTGCTATCTTTGAGCAATCTGGGCACTTTTTAAAATAGAGAAATGAGTGAATGTGGGTGATATGCTTTTATCTAAATGCAAATAAGGATGTGTTCTCTGAGACCCATGATCAGGGGATGTGGCAGGGGGGTGGCTAGAGGGAGAAAAAGGAAATGTCTTGTGTTGTTTTGTCCCTGCCCTCCTTTCTCAGCAGCTGCTTCTTCTTGTTGTTCTTAGACAAGTGCCTCCTGGTGCCCGCGGCATCCTTCTGCCTGGTCCTGTAAACAAATGCCACAGGCCACCTGTAATTACATACTTCTGGCATTGCACTTTTTAACCTTGCTGACATCCAAATAGAAGACAGGACTATCTAAGCCCTAGGTTTCTTTTTAAATTAAGAAATAAGAACAATTAAAGGGCAAAAAACACTGTATCTGCATAGCCTTTCTGTATTTAAGAAACTTCAGGCCGGGCGTGATGGCTCACACCTGTAATCCCAGCACTTTGGGAGGCTGAGGCGGGTGGATCACAAAGTCAGGAGATTGAGAGCATCCTGACTAACACGATGAAACCCCATCTCTACTAAAAGTATAAAAAAGTAGCCAGGCATGGTGGCGTGCGCCTGTAATCCTAGCTACTTGGGAGGCTGAGGCAGGAGAATCGCTTGAACACGGGAGGCGGAGATCGCAGTGAGCCGAAATCACGCCACTTCATTCCAGCCTGGGTGATAGAGAGAGACTCCTTCTCAAAAAAAAGAAAAAAAAAAGAAGCTTCAGTTAACCGCCTCCTTGGTGCTTTAAGCATTCAGCTTCCTTCAGGCTGATAATTTATATAATCGCTGAAACAGGCTTCAGGTCAAACCCTTAAAAGACATCTGAAGCTGCAGCCTGGCCTTTGGTGTTGAAAGCGGAAGGTTTAAGGAGGACCCAAGCATTTTAGACTTTTTTTTATAAATAGACTTTTATTTTCCCTTGTAATGTATTGGCCTTTAGCGGGTAAGGCAGGGCAGAGGGTGCTCACAACCTTGACTCCCTTTCTCCCTGGACCTGATCTGCTGTTTCAGAGGCTAGGCTGTTTCTGTGGGTGCCTTATTAGGGCTGGGATACTTCTGATTCTGGCTTCCTTCCTGCCGCGCCCTCCTGACCCCAGTCCCCCTGACCCTGCTAGTGGCATGTCTCCTCCATTGTCTACAGGTCCCTCGTCCTGTTTGTTTAAGGAATCCTGGTCTCAGGACCTCATGGAAGAAGAGCGAGAGAGTTACAGGTTGAACGTGATGCAGACAGACTATGGGGCCCCAGCGACGTGTCTGGTTGAGCTCAGGGAATATGGTTCTTAGCCCAGTTTCTTGGTGATTTCCAGTGGCACTTGTAATGGCGTCTTCACTTAGTTCATGCAGGGCAAAAGCTTACTGATAAACTTGAGTCTGCCCTTGTGCCAGGGCGTATACTTGGCCTCCCTCTGAGGCTGGTGACTCTCTCCTCCCTGCTGGTGCCCCACAGGTGAGGCAGAACAGCTAGAGGGCCTCCCTGCCTGCCCGCCAAGGCCCATCAGCTCGCCTCTCCTGTGCATATGGGAACACTCAGCATATGCTAGGTGGGTCACCTCTGACCCAGAGGCATGGCCAGACTTAGCGATTCAAAACTACCTTGCCTTAGCTGATCAGAGTTTCTATGGAATTCTGTTTGTTAGAGCCAATTAGCTGGTCTCTGAATGAAGCAGGAGAGGACCTTCTCTGAGATGAGCAGGGCTTGCCCCAGTCCTCCCAGCTGGAGACAGCTAATGTGTCATGCAGAGCTCTCTTCAGTACATAATAAGCTTAACTGATAAACTGAGGGAATATTTAGAAAGGTGAGACGAGGGCTTACCATTGGGTTTAAATCATAGGGACCTAGGGCAAGGATCTGGGCTTCTCTGGAGCAGATATTGTCAAGTTCATGGCCTTAGGTAGCATA